CATTCCCCTCCACATGACCATAAAGAACTTGATAAATTAATGCAAACAAATCAAACGTATCGAACGGAATGAAAGCAAAAACTTGAGTTCGTGTATGATGTAGTCATATTTTGATTTAAAGGTCACCTCGCGATTACGTTTTTAAAGCGAAATTGTCACAATCAGCGGTTTCTTGGCGTATGGATGTCGTAGCTTCAGGGAGTTCTGGTGTTTGCCCAGTGACCAATGAAAATAAGTAAATGGTTCTATGTTCATCTCCAATATTTTATTTTTTTCAAAACGCTAAATACACGCCTAACAATCGCGTATTAGCAGGCGTCACCGTACAGCGTCAAAAAGTATAGTAGTACAGTTTTCTGTACGGTGACGAAAATTAACTGAGTTGAAGCAAAAACTATGATGAGGGTTTTAAAAAAAATAATTAGATGAAAATAAATACGATTTCGGGAGTAATAAAAACAGCATTCTCTTAGAAATGGTTTTAACTTTCTAATTATGATATTAGTTGCTCGAATTTTTTCTGACTGGATCGGCCCACATGATCGACTCGAGAGAAAAATGTTTTTTTTTTTTTCACTTTTCGTTTGATTATTATTTCCCCTGCCGTCTGAGAGTATGGATTATTTTAATGAGAATATGTATTTGTTATCCACTCATTTTAGAGCAGATGAAGATTCGGCAAATAATCATTCAGCTTAGATCTGTACGGTGATATCTGTTGTACGGTGACGATTCCTTATAATTTATGAAGTGTAATATATGAGCTCAGTATTAACTTAAAATTCCATAAGTTTTTGTGTGAAAATTCAAATGTTGTATCCCATTCAACATTGAGAAAGATCAACTTCTTATTCATTTCTGATAACAAGGATTAAATACTGACACACATTCAACTTTAAGCTACATGTAACTGTTCGAACATGTCTGAGGTAAAGAGGTATCAGATCTACATGTACATCATCACTTGTAAGTAACAAGCGAAAGTTACGGCCGTCACCTTCGCATTTAAGATGGCGGACAGGAAGTATAAATTTCGATATTTTTATTTTTCATGGAATTAACTATTTGAAAGTTGACTAAACCAGGCTTTTGTCATATGACTAACAAAGATAGCCTAGAGCCATCTTTACCCCATGCAAGATATTGCATCTTTCATCCTAAAAAGCCACACGTGCAAGATGAGATTTACTCGTGACATCACTCGTTTAAAAACATCAATAACATAGCAACAAATATACTGAGTTTTTGGTTTCATGATCCTTACCTTATCATACATTTCCAGTAAACTTCCATTAAGCGGTGGAAGATATCGTTGAACCGTGGCGCCCATGCACTATATATGAACAAATGATCATACTCCAGAGTTTCCATTTCATATAAGCTTAGTCTCATTTATTTAGTTTATGAAAGCATAACGCCAACTATAAAGAAGTTTAATTCGGTGAAAACTAAAAATATCGAAATGGACACTTCCTTTACGCCATCTTAAATGTAAAGGTGACTGCAGTAACTTTCGCTTGATACTGATCAGTTTGACAACATTTATACGAGGGATACTTGATTGGATCAACATTTAAACTTCCACATCAAAACTCATGCGATTTGAAGTAAATAATGAGTTCTTTATATTACTTCACTCAAATTATAATGAAGCGTCACCGTACAGCTGATGCGTCATCGTGCAAATCTGATATTTTTTAAATATACACAATAAATGGTTATTTGCTGAACCTCTGCCCGTTCTAAAATGTGTAGTTAGTTAGCAGATACATATTCTCTTAAAAATAATCCATACTCTCAGACCTCAGGGAAAATAATAACCAAACGAAATGTGAAAAACAACCTTTTTCACTTTGGTCGATTATGTGGGCCGATTCACTCAGAAAAAAATCCGGACAGTGCTTTCTTAGAGAATGCTGTTTTTATTTCACACGAAATCGTATTTGTTTTCATCAAATTAATTTTTTTAAAACTCTTTTCATAGTTTTTGCTTCAAAGCAGTCAATTTGCGTCACAGTTCAGAAAACTGTACTCCGCCATTTTTTTGACGCTGTATGGTGACGATGGTAAGGGGTGAAATAGCGAACACTGCATAATTATTGTTTTGTTACAGCCCAATGTAAATAAGCAAATGTCGCTATGTTCACCCCCAATATTTTCCTTCTTCGAAACGCTTTAGCGAACACTGCATAATTATAGTTTTGTTACAGCGCAATGTAAATAAGGCCAAAAGAAGTAGATTCTTGGTTTTGCGTCCCCTTGCTTGCACGATTTGAAGTAAATCAGAAAAAACAAACACATCCAAATAGCAATCACAAGGGTCTGAAAGTACCATCGCATCTTATTCAATCAGAATCAGACGAAATGGCGGATAATTTGACGTGCGTCAAAATTGACAGAGTTATTGATCACTTTGGCATACATTGAGTATTTTCTTATTTTTTACCCTTGAATAATAGCTATGTCTAAATATATTGTATAAAATGTATAGATATGTGTTTGTCATCACTGCAAATTGGTATGTCATCCCTTTTTATGCCCACAAAATGTATACATATCTCAGCAAACAAGTTTGTGTTTTTTCTTGAGTTTGTGTTTGTTTCCCTTGTACCCTTGCATGATTTGGATTTTGCCAGGACGCAAAACAAAGAATCTACTTCTTATGGCCTAAGCAAATGGCGCTATGTTCACCCCCAATATTTTCCTTCTTCGAAACGCTTTAATAGCGAACACTGCATAGTTATAGTTTTGTTACAGCGCAATGTAATTAAGCAAATGGCGCTTTGTTCATCCCCAATATTTTCCTTTTTCGAAGCGCTAAATTGCAAACACTGCATACTTATTGTTTTGTTACAGCTTTTATGTTTATATTATTTCTGATGACCTTTTCCCAGTAAATATAGAAGGATTAAATCTAATTTTCATTTTGTTTATTTCTGATCCATACTATATACAGGGTGTCCCGAAAGTATGGGGACCCCCTAGGCAGACATATACCAATGTCTCCATAGTATGTGTCATATATCATTTTAAAGATCATCCAAAGTTACATTGATCTGCCAAGTATTACGGTTCAACTCACAAATGGGAAAAAGTTACAGGTATTTCAAAATTTAGTGTTTGGCCAAAATTTAAGTCAGTTTTACACCAAAATAATAGTCGGTGTGTCTCCCTAAGCCATGTTAACGGCAGCAAAGCTTTCCATATATGACCTTAAACGTCCTCCAAATAGGGATTTGGCATTTTGTAATCCTCATAAAACCTTTTTAAGGCATTCTAGAAGAGTTTCCTTCACGGACGTCAAGTACGTTTCTGGCGAAAGCTGGAGCATAGATTATTTAAGAGGACTGGTATCAAGATGGCAGTCTATTTCAATTCTGCCAACTCGTTTTGGCCTATTTATCACTATTGACTCAGTTGTTCATCTTAGTTTTACTTACCTTAGATGCTTAGTAATCTATTTAGTATAACATTGTTTCCAAAATTATTGTCATTTGCGAAAATTAGTACTAAAAGTACTTTGAACAGGTCAGCTGCCATTTGCTTGGCTGATCGTACCAGTCCATAAAAACAGTGAAATCATATTAAAAATACCAATAAAACTTTAAAATTGAGGCAGATGCGATACGAAAACACTCTATTAATACAGATATACAGGTTACAGTCACCAAGATGAGCTAATTTCAGGCGAGATTCGGGAAATAAAAAGGTAGGTCATTCTTGTTTCCAGTCCTCTAAATAATCTATGCTCCGGCTTTCGCCAGAAACTTACTTGACGCCCGTGGTTTCCTTGGAGTATCTACCCTCAACTTCCTCTTTTTAAAACTCTATATCCATTCTTTTGTCGACAATAGCACCCATATTTTCGGTCACATTCAGGTCAGGGCTGCTTCCAAGATACTGAAAAGAACTACATTTTTGGCTAAACACTAAGTTTTGAAATGCCTGTAACTTTTTACCATTTGTGAGTTGAACCATGATACTTGGCAAATTAATGTAAGTTTTGATAAGCTTTAAAATGATATATGGCACATACTATGAAGACATTGGTATATGTCCGCCTAGGGGGCCCCCCATACTTTAGGGACACCCTGTACAATGCATGTGTGACGTAGATTAAGTGTACAGGGTGTCAAAAAACAATGGCACACCCTCTACAGCAAAAAGTACTCAATGTTACACGGTGTGTCATATATCATTGTAAAGACAATTTAATTCTGGAGTTACCTGAGAAATTTCAGCTTTATATCTTATAATGTTACAGATTTACAGCTGATTCTAAGTAGTTGGTATGACTACCAGTTGCTACTTGAAAAGCAGCTTATCTGGATGGATATGATTTCACTAAAAATTCAGATAAAGGTGTACCATTGCATAATCCTCTAAGTACTTTTCTCACATTCTTCAGAATTACATCCTTAGTGTATCTTTTTTCAAGAGGCTCTTTGTCCATCAATTCCTAAACCCTGTTTTTCAGAACTGAGCCCATATGGTCAGTGCAGTTGAAATCTGGGTTAAATCTTTCATATTCCACTTTCTTAAGATTTGACCTTTAACCAGTAACAGAGCACCAAACAAAGTACCGAAGTATCAAACTTTGAAACGATGTAGCTTTTTTAATATAAAGTATTATTAAATGAAATTTGATAAGTAACTCCAGAATTAAATTATCTTTCACATGAGGTATGACACAAAATGTAACATTAAAGATTTTTTGCTGTAGAAGGGGGTGTCGTTGTTTTTTGACACCCTGTATATTCCAAAGATATTGCACTTCTTTGTTTAAATATTGCATACTTCCTGTAATTTGTCGGACTCCTTACAGTCTGATGTATAAGCTGTATAACAAAACAGAATATAATAGAGATCACACTCTACCATATAAATATGTTTGTGAACGTATTTTGCACTTGTAGATAAAAAGATGGCAGAGTTTATCAAAATGCAAAATCCTATGAGCAAGTTTACACCTAGCGACATCTTTGTTGAGTCATATTATGTTTCTATTTTTCTGGATAAACAATTTTATCTTCAAGTCCCAACTGCCTGAGTACTTCCGTTACAGTGGTACCCCGCATACCAAGAAGATCGGGATCTTGGGGATGGAAGTTCAGTAGAAATCTGAAAATAGAGTTTTCAATTGGTTAATTTGAGACATAGGATCATATCCTATGTTAAGGGGTAATGTGAAAAAGTCACTCCACCTCGGTGGAAATCGAACCCCGAACCTCCCTATTACATGTCAGATGTTTTACCACTTTATATCGCTTCTTTAAAGATCAGATAGCTCCATAGTCGTTGAATTTATGGACCAAGGGATAACCAATCATATTGCGTTCAAATTCATTTAACCTTTGCAATCAAATTATGTCTTCTAAGAAGTTGCCATTATGCAGTTATCATTTCATACTCAAACTTTTGCGATAGTATATATAGTTCAATGCATCGTATCTACCTTTAGGGTTATTAAGATCGTATCAGGATCAAAACAACTAGCAATTAATTTGTCAATCGTCAGCAGTAGATAGAAATTGATACATTGTCGTGCCATTTATACCATAAATAATGCAGTTTTCACCAAGCGCGCTAAAGTTACAATTTCTCTTGACTGTGAGCTAGTTAGGTCCAAGGACCTAAGGTTGACCTACTAAATTCATTCCATCCGGCAAATTTGGCACTTTTCCTGAAACATTTTTAAATCTCGATGATCATTACTTGTACCTACCTATCAGGATCTTGCACTGATGGGATGGCGCCCTGTACATATTCTAGAAGGGCCTTGGAGTGTTTTGGTACATCAGCCTCCTTGATCCCTACTCCAACCATATCCAAGAATAGGTAGGGAGCGTCCCAAATCCCCGCCAACCATGATACGTAAATAATAATTAACCTACCTATCAGGATCTTGCGCTGATGGGATGGCGCCCTGTACATATTCTAGAAGGGCCTTGGAGTGTTTTGGTACATCAGCCTCCTTGATCCCTACTCCAACCATATCCAAGAATAGGTAGGGAGCGTCCCAAATCCCCGCCAACCATGATACGTAAATGATAATTAACCTACCTATCAGGATCTTGCGCTGATGGGATGGCGCCCTGTACATACTCTAGAAGGGCCTTGGAGTGTTTTGGTACATCAGCCTTCTTGATCCCCACCCCAACCATATCCAAGAATAAGTAGGGAGCGTCCCCAATCTCTCCGCCAACCATGATACGTAAATCTGTGTGGACCTCTACAGCTATCTTTATTTCAGTTTAGATAAAAACAAATTGAATTATTTATAATAGTCATTCCCAACAAACCCCGACACGTTTTGTTATATCGAAGAAGCTGGTTTTATATTTGATAGATTGATGTCATTGGTTGTTGTTAGCAATTTATTCAAGCAAAACACGATTGCTAATTTTGAAAGGGTCCAACCAATGACATCATCAATCTAACCAATATATCAACGTTTCTATGATGTACCAAAAGGCGGCAGGGTGTATTGGAAAGGTATATCAGGCCTATGTCTTTATTTCACATTGGAATACAAACACATTGACTTATTTATCTATTTTCGAGTTCAACTTCTGCAACAAAAGCTGTCTCAGTGCTTAAATGTCAAATATCTTTCATGAAATCTCACCGGGGCAAGCTCTTGCTGCAAAATTAACATAAGAGTGTAACTGGCCGTCATGCGAAAAAAATTCCCATCTCTGATAGAACGCATAAAAACAACCCCTCAATGAACAAATGCCATAAAATAAACAACAAAATGACTATTCACACAGTTCATAATAAATACTTAAGACATATTCACCCGTTCAATGCCATAACCAAAGCATTTGGCCAGCGTTTCAGAAAGTCCCTTTAAGAATTCCGACGTCACCTCTTCTCTCTTTAACGATGTTCTTAGTACCGAGTATGGCATTTTGGTATTTGAAAGTCTTAATAAAGAATATGTTTGATTGTTAGTTTGTTTTAGTTTGATTTTATGAGTGCGTATTGGTCAATATCAGAAGGTTAAGAGCGTTACATTCTCTTTCAAAATGGTGGACGGTAAGTATCAATTTAGATATCTTTAGTTTACCCTGGACATTTGGGTTTGACATTTCTGTCATGCCAAGCTTGTATATTATGCAAACGTTGCAACATTTTCCGATATCACGCACGAACGCCACTGTCGAAATGAGATCTTCTAGAGTTTCCTCGTTCGCTAATGACACTGTTACTAACACAGTAACTCGTTTTCAGTCATATGCGAACGTTATGGGAATTTCTAATAGAACGTTATAGATATCCTATTTCAGATAGCAATACATAAAGGTTACATGGGAGGTTTTGGATATGGGGTTTATCCAGAGGGAGATATGCATATCTACCTGAGGGACTGTAGGGACCGAAGGTAGATGTGCATATCTCACGAGGGATGAACCCTATATCCAAACCGACCGTACATGGCTGCTTTAGCCTTTACCAAGTAGAGTTTTCAGGGACATATGGCCATTTCAATAGTACAAGGGTGTAAAAATAAACAAACCATTCATATGCAAAGTCATTTTATTGCATTACCGGAAGCGGGAAGATATACACCGAAGCGGGAGATATGGCGGGAGATATGGAGGTTCTGGATATGGAAACCCAAAAATCAGGATACGGGATTTATCTTACCAACTTATCTCCCTAAAACTCAACTTGGCATAGGATAAATAGAGATTATCCTATATGAGGTTCAGGATATTGGGATTATCCCGAGGCAAATATAATATATTTGCCCGAGGGCCGCAGGTCCCGAGGGAAAATATATTTTATTGGCCAAGGGATAATCCCAATATCCTGAACCGACTATAGGATAATATGTTTATCCCATACTAATCTTGGTCATCTGGTTAACATTGTTCAATCGTGGAAATATTCTAGAATATTCATGTCCAGTTTTGTTTTCTTGGCCGTGGGCGGATTTTCCTGTTCTCTCAAATATTCCCACATTTATTTTCTCAAATTTCTGATTGATTAAGTGGATGCTCCTTCTCTTTTTAAACCATCAAACAGATCCCGATTGTCTGTGTTTTCTCCATTGTCGTTTACAGTCATTACGCGAACGTTACAAATTATGAACAAATATGCGAGCGGCGATTGTGACGTAGCGGGCAGATATACTATATCTGCCCGCTCGGAGCGGGACGTAAAGCTATATCTGCCCGCTGATGAAAATATAAGTTTTTACAAACCAGCTTTATGTACCTGTAACACGTCCAAGTATGGGATAAAGGCCATTATTCCGTGATGGTGAAATTCCTTCCAATCTGATGTGTCAATGTGACTTAATATATAATATCCTGATTTCCACGCACTATCCACTTAGCGTATACAGAGTGAAAATGGCGTCAGCATTAGGATACTGTCCATTATTCCACGATGGGGAAATTCCTTGCATTCTGACTGGTCGATGTGATTTAAATATATCGTATTATAGGGTACGTTTGATTTTCTGTCTTCTCCTCAATTTCATCAGCTGGAAGTGCGATGTAGTGAAACGTTTTTCGACCATCGTCATTACCATATTTGATATTTACTAGATCATGAAAACAATGTGCATGCTTCATATTTATTTCTTATAATTACAAATGCGTGTTTTTATCCTAAAATTATAAATTGTGATGATCAAAGAATGATTTCCTGATCAAACAACAAGGCCGAACATATTTTGAAGGAATATCGATCAAATATATCTATGAGGTGAGAAGTTTGATCTGTTTCTCCGGTCAAGCCAAAGAAAAGGACTTGATTTGGAGGAGTTTTATCTTAGTAATCATGGAATAAAAACGTTATTCAATGATATCTTGTAAAATACAGAAAATATTCTTCCTTTGAAAGTTTGTATTTTACCTTGCTAGCGCATCGTGAAATACATTCGGGCGGAATATATTTTCTGTGTTTCACGCGATCGCGAATCATTGAATAACTTGCAGTGCCCGTTTTCGACTCATGGTATATACATAGTATACAGTTTCGATTGTGGCGTCTTTAATCAGACTGCGGAGTTTCTATGCAATTCAAGCTTGATATGGTCGAAATGTCTTTCCGTCTGCCATTTTGAAAGAGACAGTAACGGCCTTTACTTTCTTCTGATATTGATTATGACTCGTGAGTCCAGTTGTGTTGACAATGAGGGTCATTTGTATTGTTATCATGCAAAATAGGTTAATTAAGTACACTGATATCACTTACATACATCACTGTCTGCCATTTTGAAAGAGAGGGTAATGGCCATTACTTTCTTCTGATACTGACATTGACCAGTGAGTTCAGTTGTAAGTGTTCACCGTATGAGGATCCTTTGTATTGTTATCATGCAAAGTAGGTCAAAATAATAAAACTTACAAGTACACCGATATCATTTACACATATCAATCATGTCATGTATTTTTGGCTTAACGCTACATTTATTATACCTTGGCCTTTGAGAAATCAACATGCTAGTGACCAGAATAATGTTACCAGTTGATACGTTGATACGTTGAAATGTTTCATTGTTATTCAAATCAACTTGTATCTGCTTCTGCTTCTGAATCTCCTTCCAAATCTAGGATGAAGAAATAAATTATTTTCTTCATCCTAGTTCCAAATCTACTTAAATGTGTTTCAATTGTCTGTTTATGTTCGATAGAGCGTAGATACGAAAATAAATTATTTTTGTTGATTAAGATCATTCGGATGTGTGATTTTATTATTTATTTATATTACTTATTTCATTAGTCTTGACCTTCCAATTTTATTTTTATTCGTTGGGTCAATTTGTAACTACCCATAGTTTTATCCCCCACATTCTTTACTTGAATTAATGATCGAGGATATTTCAATCCAAATACCCTACGCGCAGAAGACGAAGCTCTCTTTTTAGAAGCGAAGTCGAACGGATGCAAAGGGTATAATCCAAAATGGCTGGATTTGTAATTGGACTCTCAACCTTTTCGTCTGGAAGTTGGAGGGTAAAGCTTCCTGAACGCGTGCCGTACAAAATATATATTTCCATGCAAAATCGATTGATAAATGATGAAAATTGGTCGAATCTTCTGTCTGCAAACAATCTAGAGCCCATTTCCGACAAAATAAAGGTGATAGGGTTTCATTGAAATTAATGTTCTATCCTCTGGGAGGTAAGTTAGATCGACTTCCAATCGTTAGCTAACTCTTAGTTTTCAAATGCTAGCAACGCAGTCAGGTCATGAAAAAGTGGAAGGCCGCGGGTGTAGCTATAGGCTAATCCTATCCGTTTACCATATGTAGGTCCCTGCAAAATTCTCAACATCCTTAGTTCCCGAGCTGTTTTTTCTAAGAGCTCTTAGAAGTTTGTTGTCCGGACGGTCCGCCACAAAAACATCTACTGCATAGTGTTCCTACATGTATGCCCTACATTGGGTTATGGTACATTTTTACGGGTTACAAGGGCTTTTACTAAGACAATGAGGATTTAGGCAAGGATGTATTGACTTTACATGGGGATCATATGCAGCATTAACAAAACACAGGGATAACATCATATTCCCGAGCAATCATATATATTTATTTGGGTACAGTTTTTGTCGCCTTGTACCTTTTTACATGCCACATTACCTTTTTTGAAGCATTAGGCAGTGTTTTTATAACTTAAACACCAAAACATTGCGCCATGCAGATTTTTACTATTGTAGACATTTGCACCCTGTGCGGACCATCTTTTTGACATTTTTCGTATTCTAAAAGAAATTTTCTATCGAAATTAGTTGATATCATAATACTTAAAAGTAGCTCTTAAAATGCAGTTATGTAGTAAAAAGTAGAAAATATATATTACTAAACGTTGTTTTTAGAAGGCAACCTGGTGTGACCCCAATTTAGAGAGAAAAGCCCCTGTTTCTATCAAAATAAAAAATATTTTCTTTGTGAGGGGAATCAGTACTTTCAAACGGTATGTTCATTTTTTGTGGCGGAGTACCGACTACGGCACTTCATTTTTTCTAGAGCAGTTCAGGGATTATTAGAAGTGACATCTATTATTGAGTAGAATGATAGTTCAATTGATATTCCTAGCATATTATCGTTTACATTGGTTTTCAAATTCCATCCTTCAGATTAGAAAGTATGATATTTTATATATTGTCTATAAGTGGAATAAGGGTACTTTTTGTTTGCAGAATTATGTCCTGATTGCAATATATGCATCGATTGTCTGTTAAGTCTTTGTGTTAGTTTTGTATGGAAAGTGACTGGGATAGGGGTGCAATGCACGGATCATGTGACTGTCTAACCATCAACATTTACTTCTCTGGAGAATTATTACTACATGATTGCAAAGTATGATATTTTGTGTAATGGCGATAACTAGAGTGGGGTTTGAATAACGAGACCTTGTCTAAACTTCTCCTTACTGCAATTATAGACTGCATTTTCCCTCACATTGAGTAGAAATATGTTTTCATAGTAAAACACGTTAAAGCATATTTACACACTTAAAAATGTCATTCACTCTTTAAATAAGTGAATTCACTAAGTACATAATGAGCTGAACTGACGATTCCAATAGAAACCGTCTGGGCTTTTGATGTTTGTATTCGTATTGCACGCAAGAGGAAGTGAATTTACTTTTTAGACATACATGTAAGTGATACAAAGACTCGGGGCGTTTGCGTAGGGCAAAATGGCAGATATCCTCATGTGACACATTGACGAGAAAGAGGACTGACATTTATCAAGGTAGGCGTAATATGTACGATAAGGAAAACGTTCCTTTACAAATATGTTATATAGTCATGGTAGAAATGATTGAAGTCTTCGATTTACTCAGTGGTCTGGTCCCTTATTTATCCACCAGGGGATCATGTATACTAGTAAATGTTTTATGTTGAGCGAAATCTCAGTGATCATT